GATAGAGAAGGGGAGAAATATTAGAAATATTGTAAGTTAGAAATATTATAAATATATTTTAGACAAAATACTTTTCACGTTACAAGTACAATAGTGAATTGTCAAAAATTATGTTATATATATATATATATATATATATATATATATATATATCAGTTATTGCAGTGATTTGCATCAGTGAATTATACATGTTGAAAGTCAGATAACACTCATTCTGGACCATAGAGAACTTCAGGTTCCCTGTTTAGAAAATCTCTTGATCGATTTCACACCAGTGATTGGTGCAATAAAAGGTGAAAGATACCAGAGACTTTCAAAAGAAGACCAAAAAAAAGACCATTTAGTCCATATAGGTTGTAGTTTCTGTAAATTTACCACGATATATTGATTTCTGACAGTGTTTTTTGGATGTTTGCTGTATTAGTTGTCCTTGAATTTCAACAAAACAGACTTTATATTGGGTTTTTAGCTTTAAGGGCAGTTGGGGAAGAAAAAAACCACATGCGAGTATTGACGGAGATCCAGTTAGCTCTTTTCATTTCAGCCCCCCTCCTTTGCTCGTCTCTTGTCATAGCTGTTTTTATCCACTATCACATCTTAATGCTCGTCTTCCTTTTTTTGTATTTATTACAGCAGGGAGTTGGATAACACTGTCGACTGGAAACTTTTTTAATACACAGACTCAGCGGGAAGACATTGAAACCAACAGGTGCCGTCAAACTCCAGCATCAGCTGTCATTGAGACAGACAGCTAAACAAGCTGTTTGGTGGGAGGGAGGACGGGGATGTCCCCTAAACCAGGAATCCATTACAAAAAGGCCACAGTTCCTGATAACAACAACAGAAGGGGATCAGGAGACATTCTGCATTCATGCTCCCCGCAAAACACAATTAACATGCATTTTTCTACACATTTGGGCGACTCATATGTAAATAACCTCATCCTATTTCCGTTCCTCCTTCTTTCCTGTCTGTTTGTGCTTTTCCAGAAATGTTTTCATTTTATTTATATGCCAGTCGGAATCAGAATGGTTGGCTATTTTTAATTACATGTGCATATTTCTTCTGCTTGCACTTTCGAGACTGCAAGAGATATTTACAGATGTAAATAAACTGATGACTTGTGAAACGTCTTTCTTCACGTGTTTAAATGTTGCCCACTAGGAATGCTAATATATAGGCTAATCCTCAGCACCTAGTCTAATATATTCTTTACCTTTAAAGGGGACATAACACAGTTTCACCCAATCTCATGTTAATTTTAAGTACCTATAGAGTAGTACTGCATCCTTCATATCTCCAAAAAAAGTCTTTAGTTTGATCATATTTATAAAAGAAAGATACAGCTTTATGATTCTCTCCGGAAAAAGCCGAGCTCCTGGAGGCGTGCCGTGGGCGGAGATAAAGAGTGACGAGTACTTGAGCGCCGATTGCCAACAAAACAGACATTTGATGCCGTTTCACTTACCGTCTGCAGTTCTAAATCATGACTGGGATCTTTTATTGCTGGGACCGCTCCATCTTTCGGTATCAAAGATGTGCAAATCCAGTGTCGAACTGGGCCTTGATTATAAAATGTTTGTCAACAAACACACTTGTGAAACTCCGTTGCTGCCCCCGGAAAAATAAACTGCATCCACTGTTTACATAATGCTGGGTTCTTCAGGAAGCTTCTTCAGGAATCTTTCCCTTACAACCAAAAACACACTTCTTTGGAGACATTCTTCCCGAGCAAGTACCGTGCAGCGCTGCCGCCGGATGAAGCGCGTTGATGGGCACGATCTCGCTCTTGCTCTGGTCAATGCGTGCGCGGTTTTCCGGGAGAAATGCCCATATAAGGAGTTCCACCCTCTTCTACGTCATGAAGAGCCATGATCGAAAAAAACTCTGCGAAACTTGTACGAACCCGGAAGTAAGATTTTTGGCACAGAAATACTGTCATACGTCCAAACTGTTTTTTTTTACTTTGTCCATGCTTAGCATGAGAATCCAACTCTTTAACAGTGTAAACAACTCCCCCACTTAAGACAAGAGATTTATTCCACCTCCGTTAGATTTGTCGCTAAGAGGATTGAAGTAGCAGCCGCTTGAAATATAAGCACAGCTTGCTTTGAGGTCTGGATGGGAGAGATCGTTCAGTCTAACACAACCTGAAGTAAGACTGTAAAAAGAAATATCGCTATATTGCAACTGCTCCCATAGCCACAAACGGCAATCACTGAGGTCCAAAACATTTACAAAAACAACACAATTGCCTCATTTGAAAGAGCAGCTGTCGATACAGTTTGTAAAGTTGAACTTTTTTTAAAGTAGGCCTGAATCTATTTTCTAAATGCATGTTACAGATCTTATTGTGAACAATTCATCCATGCATGTTTCTTTTCTTTTCTTTTTTTATTGACTTCATAATGTTTAATCAGATGTCATAATGTCATAATTTAAATATGTCATAATTGGACCTACTGGTTAAAACTACACACTTACGTATGACAAAAAAAACTTAAATTATTTTGTTTTGCAAAAGAAAAAGTGTGGAAACTGATTTCCACCTCAGCAAAAAAAAAAAAAAAAGTCGGAAAAAAGATATAAAAACACAAACTTTTTTTTCTCAGAATTGATTTTATATCACAATTCTGACTTTTTTCTCAGTGTCTATATTTTGCAATCCTAAGAAATTATCTTGCAATTCAAAGAACAAAGTCAGAATTTTGAGATAACTTAGAATTGCAACTTGCAATTCCGAAGTCAAAATTGTGAGATAAAGTCACAATTACTTTTTACAAAAAAGGTGAATTTTTACATGTAAACTCAGAATTTTGAGGGGGGGGGGGAATCAGAATTGCGAGATATAAACTCAAAATTGTGAGGAAAAAATTTTGAGTCTCAAAATTCGGACTTTTATTCACAGAATTGCACGTTTATAGAATTGTAAGAAAAAAGTCTGAATCATGAGATGTTTAATTGTTTTAGTTTGTGGTGGAAATGGACTTCCATAAAAGTCATACAGGTTCGGAATGACATGAGCATGAGCACATGATGAAAGAATTTTTAAGACGGTCTTAATATAATGGCTGGTTATGCAACTCTGAATTAAGAAGGAAAAAAATATTAAGACAAGTTATTTAAGGATAAGTGGTTAGGATTCTGGTTTTGCATGTGATTTCCAGTATCTATCAATCAGGCTTTAAGACATAACGGCCCCTATAATTAAAGATAATGCCATAATGCAGAGAAATTTCTAAATCATTGAAGCATGTCAAAACTCAAACATTTGGCAACAAATAAACAACTAAATTCCGCTAAAACGTTTTGGCTTCAGCTATGCTTTTATTGCACTCCAACACATTTCCTCCCATGCAGCAGAGACAGTCATGTCCGGGTCAGTCAAGAAACCCTGCTCATTATTCATCCCCATGTCACCTTATAAGTGAGTGATGTAGGATGTTAACCAGAAGCCGCTGCTATGACTCTCCTTCTCACCCCTGGAGCTGGAAATGCCTTTAATCACTGCCAAAACACATATGCTGTATGGATGGAACTACTTTAACAGATGCCAGTTAATAAGGAACTTGCATTAGGAAGCAATTTAGCAATTTTACTGGTGCCAGTGATTTCTCCTGAACATGACGAGAAAAGGCCCCATCCTTCAAACATACTTGATGTGGTGGAAAAATATGGATATGTTTGCATTGTGCGCACTGATGAGGGTCACGTTTCATATTTACTTTTTACAAATGTGTTTTGCTCCAGGATGACTGACTGACTGACACATCAAACTCTCATTCAGCAGTCATACTTTGAGCAGTCGCATAAACAAGTGTGTTGGTTTACAGAAAGAGGCCCACGGCGCTGAGGGTGTTTGGGTTAGAGTATCACATGTATAGGAATACACTGAAATGCTGGGTGTCAGAATAACATTCCTTGATTTATGTCAGTGGGATTTTGAGGCTCTATAGAGCTCAAACAGGCAAAGACTGGATTCATTTGGACCGATGCACAGTAAAGGCTATGACTGTCTTACAATTTGTTTTATTTATTTTTTCACATTTTTCAGGGTAATTATCAGTTCTGGGCAATTTCATTTGAAATATAAAACGCCCCTAATACCCTTTAATGTTAATGTAATTTGTTAACGTTCTATAATAACTAATTTTAAAGTAGAATGACTGAAGACTGTTTTAGAGAAAAAGTAGCCATTGCTAGCTGGTGGAATACTGTGGAAAAACAGAAAACGTACCGAGAAAAATGAAAAATTCAGTACTAAAAAAAAAAAAAAAAAAAAAATGCATGCAATTAACTTTTTAAAATATTTTTAGATGAGTGATTTAGAGAAGTGGTTTAAGCGCCTTAATTTTTTTTTTTACAAATATTTGTATAATATGGAGTAGAAGTCCATTTAACTTTTTAAAAGATTTTTAATGAGTGATAAAAATGCCTTAAACTTACCTTTTTCCTCAAATAGCTGTATATGGAGCACAAAAGTAAACAAATTTGCAACAATTCTCTTTAAAGTCCTTTTTTTAAAGATTTTTAGATGACAGCGACAAAAATGTCCTAAAATTACTTTTTTTCCTCAAATAGTTGTATATGGAGCACAAAAACAATTTAGAACAATTCCCTTTTTTTTTGGATGACAGTGATTTAAAAACCTTAAAATGACTTTTTCCCAAATATGTGTATAATATGGAGGACATAATTGTAACTAAATCTGCAACAATTCCCTTTCATTTGATTTTTAATCCACACTTTATGAGACCAACAAACACTGAATCTAGAGAATGAGCAAACTTAGTTTCAATTATGAAAAAGTACAAACTGGATAATGCATTTTTCTTAATTAAAAAAAAAACTTCCAGTTTTTTTAAGAGATATATTATTGTCTGTTCACATAATCATACTAAATCATACAGTACATTTCAGACCAATTAACACTCATTTCTCAATCACATTCAAACTCTCTAAATGTAAAGCAAGACGTCTTCCCAGAAACATACACTGCATGTGTTTGCCCAGCTGGTATGCATTTTATTTCAATAGTTTTTCTGAAGGTAATACAGCAACAACAAATTTCACCAATAGTTCATTCATAAAATCCTCCAGGCTCTGCGCTCTCTCTGCTCCACAGCCAGACCGAACAAATCAGCACTCTCTTCGGGTGCATAGGCCATTTCAGAGCTCTAAGGAGCTGAAATTAAATGATGCATTTGAGATGACCGAGAACTCTGATCTAAATTTCAGACTTCCTGAACAGATTGAGTAGTAACCTGCGTGAGTGGATTTGTTGAGTTTGGTGGTGGAGTACAGGTGTTCCGACGGGCCGTGTAAGGTGTTTGATGGTGGAGGGACAGGCGCTAGTTGGCTTTGGCACGCAGCTGCGCTCTCTTGCCCGTCACAGCCTGGAATCCGGTCTTGATGCTGGCGACGGAGCAGCGGGAGTGACACGTCTCACACTGCAGGAAATACAGACGCGTGTCCTTCTGCAAGATTGTGTCAGGAGACCGACACGTGTGGCACGTCACATACTCCTCTGCAAGACAAAAACACATTGCTTAGTATAGGCTTCCCCCCCCCCCATGTAACGCATATTAATAACTATGCAATATTAGTAAATATAAATATACTTGAGATGCATATTGAAATTCTGGCAATAAGCCTATAATTATGCTATAGGTGATATATAGTAATTATATATTATACATGTGCTTGATGGCATGTATGTAATAAAATATAATACTATAAACAATGTTATACTTAAGAAACACACATTATTTTTAGATATGTATATAATTTTTAAGATATATATATCTTGTTAAAAATTATGTTTGTGTGCGTGTGTGTGTATATATATATATATATATATATACACTGTATATATAACTATTATAATCAGGGGTGCACATAAGTACGCAGGTGTGCATGCGCGACCAAAATAAAAATTGCGCTGTGTAAATAAGATCAGACTGCTCATTTGAGTACCGACATGTTTGACAGCTGTTAATGCACAATTACAATTTTAGATCGACAAACTGTAATACTGTATAAGATTTATATTTGAACTCAAAGCATAAATCTAGGCTATCCGCTGCCGTTTTCAAAGCACAATGCAAAACTGTGACGTTTCATTCACTGAAGCTCTTCAATCAGCAGCGCTAAACCCGGCAGTGCATATACTTACTTTCCGGCAACCCGCCAAAATAAAACTTGCTGAGATTTAAGTTTGAAAATGATGAAAATTCATATATAAAAAAAGTAACCAAACCAAATCTCCAGGTGCTCTTTTGAGAACCAGGCTGAAAAACATATGTGCACCCCTAATTATAATTCTATATATATACGATAGTATGAAAATTATTATTTTATTATTCAGTGTAAATTTGCATAAACTTACATCAATACATAAACAGCATAAATAATGTTTAAGAACATTTTTTATAATTCACCAGTCAAATAAACACTCACTTATGTATCTTCTTAAGACATTCTCTATCTGTTTCTGCTGGAATCTGCCTTTGATGACGAGCTGATTGTTTCCATCTATGGATCCGCTGAAAAGTCAAAACAGTGCATATCTAAACATATAATAAATAAAAATCACACCAATTTCTATATTCTTTCCAAATCACAAAGTTCCTGTTTCTAGCTGCAGAAAGAAGAATTCTGCTCATGTATGAGACTGATCTCTTTCCAAAACCAAAATCATCTGTAAATATCCAGGAGGCAAAATCGAGGGGTTTCCTTTAATTTTAGAGAAACACCACCAATTAATTTCTATATTCTTTCCGAATTGCAAAGTTCCTGCTCCCAGCTACAGAAAGAATTCTTCTCATGTATAAGACTGATCTCTTTCAAAACCAAAATCATCTGTAAATATCCAGGAGGTAAAATCAATCGGTTTCCTTTCATGTGTCTTCTGAGATACATGTGGTTGAACACAATGAGGTGCTGAGTGTCGAGCACTGAAACCAGCCTGCTTATCTTTTAATAATGCCTTCAGAAAGCATCACAGGGTCAGTCGCTCCCTCTAGAGCAGCAATGCCTTTCTCAACTGATTCAGGTTTCTCTCTGACATTATGTGAAATGCCTCCAGCAAAACGTGGAAGCAAAGTGTTCTGGTGGAGGGTTTCAGTCGCACAGAGACGCTGAAAAAAATAAACCCAGAGCTTGCCAGACACAGAGACGATTTTTTATGCAAGGTTAATGATCATCCGATGAAGAAAAACAACCATTGGTTGAGTGGTGCTGCCCATAAAACAAAACAATAGTTCACTTACAGATTACAACAGAAGATCATTACAGGCTCTTTCCACAAACCAGGCACAAAAAAAGCCTCTTCTTTTAAAAAATGAAGTATTTCTACTTCAGAAAATAGTTAAGAGATGCTTAATTTTAAAATGTCAATTAATACAATTTCAAAACAAACTTTTGTCATTCCAAAACATTTTTGCAATAACTATTTAATAATATCTACCGCAATAAATTAAACATCACTTCATCGGATCACATTTTTGAGATTGCTGGAGGTAGAAGAGGCAAAAAATAAAATATAGCTACTTGTCATGCAGTGTTAATTGTATGCTAGATAACAAGCATATCAAGTTTATCAAGCATATCTAACAGTTCTCATAAAAATATCAAATAAACTTACCATGTGCCCAACTCAGCCAGCAAAAAAGCCAAGAGATGTTTTGGTTGTCGATGCAACCTGGGATAAACAACAGAAAACAAAAACAAACAAGGAAGGAAGGAAATGTAAAGAACCCTCCAAAATAAAGGTTGCGTGTGCAAATATCCAATTCAATTATTTGTTGCCAGATACCAAAATGCCCAACAATTTAGATTTATTTTACGAGTGTAATGAGGAGTAAACATTCAGAAATGCAGCAACTTTCCAGTTCTTTAGAGCAAATCAAACTTCATTACAGCTCTATAAAACAGCTTGACAATTTCAAGTTTAGACTTACAGTTTGCAGATGTCAGTGAAGTTTACGAAGGAGGTCTTCTTTGTGCCGACCCTGACAACCTGAGGAGGCTTCATCACAAACTTTCTCTTCTCTCCTGCGACCATGTCTGGATTTTTTTCCCGCATGATGTTAAAGACTCTAAACAAAAGCTAAAACAAGGTGATATTATCAATAACAATAAGAGCAGATGCAAGCAGCCATTATCTAAGGAACATAGCAGTATAAACCAAAATTAAGACACTACAATGATTATTTAGTTTCAAGTTTTCAAGGGGATCAAAACTGGGATGCACCATATATCAGCCACAGTATCGGTCAAAATTTTTTATTTTTTTACCGTTATCATTATCGACCCGAATTTGGATGATATATTAAGGCCAAAAGATATGCGTTATTTCCTTCAGAGACACTTCAGATGCGCACCATTCACCATTATGGTTATGAATTGCGAATTGCTCACTTCAAAAAGGAAAATACCATTAAGTGCAACATGTGCAGGGCAAGTCTGTCATATAGTCTACATAAAACTATAATGAGAACATTACTGCAAAATAATGTTGTGGAATCTTTGTGCGCCCGTGCTTCAGAGCGTTGTTACAGGAAGAGCCAAGGGCGCATCCACAACAGGATTCCCGTAGTTCAGGTTCACTTGTGCATTTGCGTCTTTTTGTGAATATATAAGTTGTAATATTATGTTTATGTTGTATAAATATCTGATTCTCATATAGCCTAATTAACCCGCTAACAAAGAGCTTCAGTTTACTGGTGTTAAATAGCAATGCTGATATTTGAAACAGTGGTATTAATTTAAGATGTTTCTTTTTCAAAATCATTGATGCATTAATAATGACCACCAATTTTATTTTTATTATTTTCATCAACAATACGGTTTAATTAAAATCATTTAATTATCGTCCGTTTTATCAAGCATTTTGATTCTTTACACGCAAGTAATATTGTCCAATGACTTGTTTGCATTATTTAAGCATTATTTTATTTATTTGTAAGTCTTTTAATTTTAAACCTTACCCTGGTTCAAACTAGGCTGCTGTCCTGTATTTGCCTGATTTATGTTTAAGTGTTTGGAACATGGATTTTAATGGTGAGACTTTTGTAATCAGGCTCTCAAAAATTATATAAAAATTCGGATTTAGATTTATCAGCCAACTTATCGGTTATCGGCCAAAATTATCGGTGCAGCATCCCTATAAAATAACAAAACAACTGCCATGTATGTAATAAAAATTTAAAAAACGCATATATACAGTGGTGTGAAAAAGTGTTGGCCCCCTTCCTTTGCAAGTTATCGCAAACGCTTGATTGCAGTTGTTGCTGCTAAGGGTGGCCCAACCAGTTATTAGGTTTAGGGGGCAAACACTTTTTCACACAGGGCCATGTAGTTTTGGATTTTGTTTTCCCTTAATAATAAAAACCTTCATTTAGAAACTGCATGTTGTGTTCACTTGTGTTATCGTTGACTAATATTTAAATTAGTTTGATGATCTGAAACATTCAAGTGTGACAAACATGCAAAAAAATAAGAAATCAGGAAGGGGGCCAACACTTTTTCACACCACTGTATATATACACATGTATAAACTATTGTTTAAAATGAAGAACACATGTGTAAGTATTGAGAGACATTCTGATTGTCAAATGTAACCGGAACATATCCACAGTTTATGTGATGAACTACACCTGTGTGAACTTGACGAGAACTAACTTCATACATCTAATAAATATCATCTTGACACCAGCTGTAATAATTCCAAACAGAAAGAAAAGCAGAGAAAAGCTGTTCTGCCAACAAAAGCACCAGATGGCAGCAGTTTCTGGCCTTTTATCAAGTTATCACCTGAAACAAGTGAGTATGTTCTGCACCGGAGGTTTAGTAATAAATGTTCCCATCTACCTCATCATATGTGTAATCTCTCTCTGATCCTGCCCAGGCAGGGCCCGTCTGTGTGCTGAATGTGATGTCATCGATGTTTTTACTGTCTTCATCTTCGACACCTTTCACACAAACAGCACAGAATTAGACTGCCAACATTACGTTATAGTTATTTACAGAAAAATTCCCTACTAAGGCACTTACCATTATCTTTGCTTTGACTGTCTGTGTCCTCTTGAAAATCTTTGACTTTTCTTGTTTTCTTCTTCTTCATGGGCAGCATTAAGTCATCCTCCTCTTGTGTTTCTGATGGCTCTGTTTCGATCTTCAGCTCCTTTGGAATTTTGCAATTTATTTAATACAATTGCTGTCAGTGCTGAACAGACCAAACGCTTTCACTGTCAAAACATATTTCATTGTGCTATGAAAACAATCCAGAGTTTAACAACTATACATGTGCAAACAATCGACTGACCTTCATTCCTTCTTCAAGCTCGGCATCAAAAATCTTCTCTTTTTTGGACTTCTTTTTCTTTTTCTTCTGGTTAAAGAAGTTTAAGTCATCCAGGTCATCTGATGTTTCTGGAACATCACCAAAATAATATAAATATTCATAAAAGTTAATATATTGGATTTTTGCAATAAATATTTATTAATATATTCTAAATTATGTCATTGTTGATGCAAAATTGAACATGTGAACAAGACACTTTTAAATAGGGCTGTGTGATATAGAAAAAAAAACGAATATACAGTATATATATGTGTGTGTGTGTGTGTGTGTGTATTTCCTTACTTTACATTCGAGGATGCATTTTGGTATTTCTGAATTACAATTTAAAACATATTTCAAAATTAAAACAAGTAGAGCTTTATCAAAAAGCTGTAACATGTCTCTAGAACAGACAAAACAATATAGGTAAACATAGGTAAACATCAAAACAATAAAAAAAAACAGCCCAGACTAAAAAGTCTCTCAAATAACAGAAACTAGAACAGTGACAGAAAGGGCAATATAATCATAATATATCACGCAATTACAATTGGAAAGATGCAAACCTTGTTTGCAAATGCCCAAATAACAATACAGTGTTATTTTAATAAACATTTAAACAAATGCGATTCATAATGAAAAACACATCCAAACTGCAATTTTTAACATGCATATAACAACTTTAATGTGCCCAACATGTAAACAGCTGTCAAAGCTCAACTCCCTGAAAACGCTTGCACTTCTCCGCTCGCTCGGCACCAGTGGACACAGACCGTGAGAAATCATACGTTCTGCGGTTTAGAAAATGCACATGCTCTCATCACGATTTTATCACGATTTCGATTCATTGCACAGCCCTAGCTTTTAATGTGTTTTTTTTTACTTGGCCATTACATTACTTAAGCCAGAAAATTCAGTTTTTCTGCAAAATTTAGTGTGAATTGTTTCAAAAACACAGATTTGGAGAATTGTTGTGTCATTTTACATGCAAAGATTGCTGTTTAATTACTATGCATTGTTATACTGATGCAAAAAAAAAAAAAAAAGATTAAATGTCTTGATTTTGTGCAAAAAAAACATCAAGTTCACTTTCAGGGTAATTTGTTATTTGTTATTATCGTAAATACATTGTGAACTGATTTTATGGCCACTTAAAACTGCCTTTAAGCAGTTGTTCAAGATCAAATGTGCATTGAGTTTTTTTATATATATTTTATAGTATATGAATTATAAAAATCAAAATGGTTGGTAGGAAAAACTGGGGGGGAAATTGGGCATTCTCTAACCAGGCAGGTGGGAAAAGGACATAATAATATGGCTTTGTGTTCTCTACTCAATATTGCTACAACTATTTAACTAGGCAATCAAAAAGCGACAACACTAATGCAGAATACAATTGTGATGTGCTTTACCTTTCTTCCTCCCCTCATCTTCATCAAGATCTAACTCTTTCTCCTCGGCCCAGTCAGCCTCTGTCTCTTTTATTTCTAGCTGTTGGCCTTCATCTCCCTCTCCACCATCTTCCTCCAGCATGAAAGGCTTCTTCTTTTTCTTCTTCTTCTTGGTCATAGTGGGATCAAATATCATCTGGAAGGACCACAGCATGAGTTTAATAATGAGATGACATTGAACAGAGGCTGTCAACAGACATCAGAAAGGTCAGAATGAAGCATGAAAGCAATCATCAACTAATGAGAGACTAGTCACAATTAAATCCTACTAATCATACTAAAGCTCTCTAAGATATTGTCAACCATGATTAGTTTCAAAAACACAAAATGCTGGAGCTTTTGGTCCTAATTTTGGATGGCACAACAAGAATAGATCAATTCTGGAGAAGATGAACTCGAGATTTCATTTACAGCATCTCTTAAAGCATTCATAAAACAGTTTAAATGTTATCATGTAATAATCACATGATGCAGAAGCTTCTTTGGACAGGTATGACATGGTAAATCTACAGTACTTTGACATATATACCATGGTGCTGAAATGTATGTACCATGGTATTTACATGGTACTCCAAGAATACCATGGCACTTTAATACTTTGGGGTACTTTTTGTAAGTGATACTGCTTTATTAAATAATCACCATATATTTACATGATTCTTCAAGAACACCATGTGTAGAAAGTGCAGTAGAAAATGTCCAAAGAAACCATGGTAGTACCACAGAAACAGTATTACCAAGGTAAATCTGCTATATATATATACAGTATCTCACAGAAGTGAGTACACCCCTCACATTTTTGTAAATATTTTATTATATCTTTTCATGTGACAACACTGAAGAAATGACACTTTGCTACAATGTAAAGTAGTGAGTGTACAGAGGTGCCATGTTGAACTTCCAGTGACCAGTATGAGAGAGTGATAACACTACATTTAACACACCTGCTCCCCATTCACACCTGAGACCTTGTAACATTAATGAGTCACATGGCACCGGGAAAAGAAAATGGCTAATTGGGCCCAATTTGGACATTTTCACTTAGGAGTGTACTCACTTTTGTGGCCAGTGGTTTAGACATTAATGGCTGTGTGTTGAGTTATTTTGAGGGGACAGCAAATTTACACTGTTATACAAGCTGTACACTCACTACTTTACATTGTAGCAAAGTGTCATTTCTTCAGTGTTGTCACATGAAAAAATATAATAAAATATTTACAAAAATGTGAGGGGTGTACTCACTTCTGTGAGATACTGTATATATATATATATATATATATAAAACATGGTAGCACCACAGTAAATGCCCCAAAATATGGTCATAGCATGGTACCGGTCCAAATAAACAAAGTAGTACCATGGTACTCGTCCAAAATAACACGTCTTTGCAACGTCCAAATAACCATGGTATTACCATGGTAAATGTTCAAAGAAACCTATGCTGTTTACTATCTAACTAGCTGACAAATGACAAAAACATCTAGAAAATACGAGCTGTGCACATGTTTCCTCACAGCCTTTACTGGTAGGCCCAATTGTCCTTCTCTTTTGACTGTCTAAATAATCCCATATTAACAGATAATCTTACTAAACAACGATTGTTCACTAACCTCGTCTTCCGACATGGTTTCGACTTCTTGTAAAACCGCAGGAAGAAAAAATAAACGTTATTACACGCTGTTCCTAACGAAGACCCGTTCTCGATATGCGCGTTGCTTGCGACAGGCCGGGTGGAGCTCGGTACGCATGCGCGATAGATTGGGCTGGGCGCATTGCATCATGGTTGTTGTAGTTTTGGTCTGCAAAACTACGTAGGGGAGACTAGGGACAATTTTTGTTTCATCATTTGTTACTCAATGTGTCTCAAACTTTAATATTGCAACATTTAATTAATACAACTGTGGCACAAAAAAATCTACTGCATCTCAACACAGAACTCTCTGGTCCCTGTATGTTTGATCAGATTATTGGAGCTCATGAACCAAAACCCTTTGTGCTGACAGAACCTTGAGATGTACAACAAACAGATGTACTGGAAGAAAGATTCTTATGTGACACGATAAATCTTTGGAAATGATGCTCAAATTGGTTTCTAAACCGCATGGCTTGAGGAGGTTAAACATCATGACTCTAGAGGATTTTACTTACCCTCACATTCTTTAAATCTATGCTATAATATTCTCAAACCCTTCCTCCAGAGATTAACCAAACCTGGTGCATTTTTCTTTATTGTTCATAATAGCTTGCGAACCATTTTATTCCTGTAATCTGTTTAAAATTGCAGTGGGATGTCTGGCTCCCAGACAGCTAAAACCCTTTCCTGCTTCCTCCTTTCTGGTCTGCTTTTTCATAACAATGTTATTTGCCGTATGTGTGTGTTTAGGGTTAAATGGTCAGTTTGACTTATTGTCTCTCCAAAATTAGTTAGCAACAAAAACCACCACAGTACTTTCCTAAACACCTGTTTGAACTGAAATGTTTCCTGATCCATGAGGTCATCATGTGCAATGAGAGGTGTCTAACATTTAAGGATATTTAAACTGCTATAATAAGTCCTTGTTTAATGTATGGGATCAGCTGTGCAGTTTTAAGGCTTTAAGGTTTTGTCTCCAGAGTATAAGAGTCACAGCTAGTTATGGTCTCCAATATGTAATATATCACAGACAGTATACATGCTACTGGAGGCCAGCAGTGGATCAGGAGGGTTTTCAGGGTATGTATCATTTACCTAAGGGGTGGAACACTGCTAATCTATGCATTCTCCATACTATATTTGCTGAGTGCAGCTCGATTTTCAGTAAAAGAGCTGTTGCACTCTTACCACAAGCCGTGAAGTGAAGTGAAAGAAAATGTATTCATGTGTAAATCTGCTTAGGAAATAAGTAGTTTATGCTTTCTGAGCATGGGAGGGAAGAGAAATCCGGACAAGAAAATATGTGCAGAAGGTAAAAAATGTCTTATTCCTTCTCTTTGAATCTCTCTTTCTCTTTCTCTCTCTCTCTCTCTCTCTCTCTCGCTCTCTCTGTCTTAATTTGATTTATTTTCATAGCTTATCATGAAAGTTACATGGGGACCTCATTTGAACGTGTATTATACATTCAGCTAATCGCTTCACAAATTTGACATTATTGCTTTTGAGGGTTGTAAATGTAATGTAATGTAATAAATATTTGTTACTTTAGTTCTCGAATAGACTGAGCCTTGCTTTTAGACTAGAAAAAGAACATATACACATTACTAATCAAAACACTGAAACTATGCCAAGACGTCTTATTTTCATTATAGGCCCATTTCAAGTTTATGTGTCTAGCATTAGCACCGGTGAAGCTGAAAATATACACGGTGTCATGGGCTTCGGAGAATAGCGAGAAGTATGCAAAACCTTAAATCAGGTAGACAGATTTGACAGACAGTGAACAGTGCTGCTATTTGGAGTCTGTGGGCACTTATTCACATGCCAGGCAGTTTTCCATTGATCTCAGAGACATATTGTTCTGTGATTTCTGAAACTGAATCGCAATAAGGCTTTGAAACTAAATGTAAGATGTTGAAATCAAAGGTTTCTCTACCCAAACGACATAATAACTTCAACTATGTTGAAAATGGAAACACATGTAGAATCACTCATCACAAAATATACTGTCTTTTCTGTGATGTGGACATTTCTGTTTCATATACTTCACTTCATTTTCAGAAATTTATATATATATATATATATATATATAATCTTACGTTATCTAAAAGAAAACACTTTAAAAGCCTTTTTACAACATTTCTAAATTTTGTTCCAAGTGTATCAAACAATGAATCACAAACTTTGACATTTTTAATGAGTGAAAATTTGATTGTTGTAATAGATACATAATAAACAACGTTTTATTTTATATTTTGTCAATGTGTTTAGTTTTGTAAGTCACATATTCTCACTGAAATATTAGATTTTGTAAAAATACTTTTTACTTGTTTTCTTTTAGATAACATAGGATATCCAAAAGATAAACGATGTTTCAGTGAGAATATGTGACCTACAAAACTAAAAACATATTGCCAAAATATAAAATAAAACGTTTTTTTTTTTTTTTATCATATTGCTCATTTCATTCATTACAACAATCAAATTTTCATTCATTAAAAATGTCAAAGTTTGTGATTCATTGTTTGAAACACTTGGACCCTAATTTCACAGAAGAGTAAAACGGAAATATACAGTACATATTTTCTATTAGAATATTATATATAGTTTTATATAAAATTGGATTTCAAAATCATACATGTGCAAAGCACATTTTCTGAATATAGAAATATTAAAACATTAAACAGTCTATTGATCAAAAGGTCTTTAAAACCCTTTCCTTGAAAAGCCACAATACTGTATGTTTTTAAGTCTTTTTATTGTGAAAACGTTTATTGTATTTCATGATGTATGTGAATAATGTTGTATTTCATGTATTTTCTCGAGTTGTAAACTCAGAACAGTTACATATGTGATAATCTAAGATTAAATATGCAGCCAAAATTACCTTAATAAAGGACAAAAAAAAAGAATAATTTTAAGCGTTACAGAGAACAAAATATTAGAAAATGCTGCAAATACTTTAAAATATGCAGGATCCTGTGCTGAAAATTTGTTCATATTACATCACTGCATGTTTAACTGACTTGTAACAGAGTTCAGTTGTAACCATGTGCTCCAAACTATTGTTCTTGGGAGGAAGAGAATGATACATTTATAATGTCATTTATTATATAACTTTATTTAGCTTTTCTTTAACAACTAAATCAAACTGACTATACAACCATTTTATTACCTTAGCGATTTAGCGCCGAGCTTATAAAATATGAGACATTCGTGACTCACATGGTGAGACAGTGTGCAAGAGAATTGGTTCAAAGCCCGAGCTCTCTCAAAAAATAAAATGAAATTAAAAAAGCAAAATCACTTGCTATCCAGTGATCACCATGCATTTTCATTGTATAGAAAAGTGTGTTTGACATTTTTATAATAATATATCAAAACATATTTAAAATCTACTAGAGAGGCAAGACTGCATATGATAATAAGACTAGTTTTCAGATAATATATTTTAAATTAACATTTTTTATAAACCATTATCAAACTGTTTTTCTTGTTTTAAGCATTAATAGGCTAATATTTTGGTATCACTGAGATACTATTATAGTTTTTGTTAATAATTAGAATATTATTTTTTTTATATTTTATATTTTGGTTCTAGTAATTTTGTGGTGTGTTTTTGTCATTTTTCTTATTTTTTATATCAATATAGTTTTCATTCATTTGTATTTCTGTTTTAGTGTTAGTTTTTTTTAGTACATCTAGATAAACTAAATTAAAATGAGAAATGTTGCCTTGACAACTAGCTGAAATAAAATAAATGTACAAATAAAAATAAATATATATTTTTTTAAATACATTTTTATTTCAGCTCAAGTTTGTTTCAAACAATTTTCCGCTCAAGGATCTTACAATTTAGAGGATCCAAAACATGATCATGATAATTTAAGTCATTTGTACAAGATGGTGAAAACATTTAACTTTCATATTTTTCTCCTATTAGAATCATTGGGTTGTTTGGGTTCAGCTTTTGTGGTTATGCTTTTGTACAACCCATCTGGCGGATTTTCACCACCATATGAATTCTCATGGGGGAGCATTAAAGGTGGAGCAGCCCAGAAGACAAAGCTGGTGTTAATGACAGAAAATAAGTGACTAAGAAACACATGCTTTCTTAGCTTGTCCAGAGCCTGTCAAGCCAGCCTTTACAACACGTCTTCATTCTGGACGATTCAAAGGTTTCCCAAATCCCTTGAGAGCAATGTTCGGCACTCACTCAGTTGGCTTTTCCACTTCCATGGCTTTCATTTTACAATCATTACCCAGGTCTCTGGCAGCAGCCAGATGAGCAAACGATGGATGTAATTAATGTACTTGAATACTTTGGCGTTGAATATGTGAATGTAATGTTACCACATTGAGCCAGCCAGAAAAGAAGAAAAAATCAAGACTGACATGATTGTTTCTTTGAAACATTTTTTATAGATTTGATTTGTCACTTTAAAGTCAACATAAAATAACATATGCGACCTTACTTCAGTAATGTGACATTGTTTAGGAAAATGGGATACTCAACAATAAAATGTACACTCTCAGAAAAAAAAGATACAAAACTATCACCGGGGCAGTATACCCTAATGTACAAAAGCTAAAATGTACATCTTTGTACCTTATTTAACCTTAAATGTTACATATTAGTACATTAAAGGCATATTAGCAGTGTTGGGGAAAGTTACTTTTAAAAGTAACGCATTACAATACTCCCTAAAAAAGTAACTAGTTACTTTTTATAGAAAGTAACGTGTCACATTAATTTTGCATACATTTTTCTCATCTGGGCTGGGATTACTTCTTTGTTTTTAATATAAAATGTTCTATTTTTGGCAAAGGTAAAAGCCTTTGACAGCAAAATTGAAATGAATACAGTAAGCCTCAGGCTGAAGGAAATGTACATTCACGTCTGTACAGTAGATTGCGCAGCTCAAACAAACCTTTTAGCTGTGCAGCCATAACACAAACGTTATGTTTATCTAAAGTCATTTTTGCTTATTAGTATGGATAAATCGGATCATCGAATGTCAGCAACAAAGACATTGGTAAATAAAATGGGATTAAATACATTGCAGGTTTGCGTCATATTCTAAATTTGCATGAAGAATACTGAATCTGATTTTGTCCAAATTAGATGTTTTCACAGTGCGCACAACGCCTCTGAACTTACTCCTGATTTCTCTCAGCATTGGAGAGAGAAGTCAAAGTAACTGGTGTTACGTATTTGAAAACGTAACTCAGATATTTTGTTGTAAATTAAAATGTAATATGCCACTTTACTAGTCACTAGTCAAAATGATCTGATTACATAACTCGAGTTACTTGTGATTAGTGTTGGCATTACCACCCAACACTGCATATTATTACCTTTTGAAATGGTACCGCCCTAGTAACAGTTTGGTACCTATTTTCTGTGAGTGTAGGGCTTGGAATTTTATAGAAAATCTTGTCAAATTAATATTTTACATTCATTCCATCCCTTTTATTGAGATGCATAAAGCAGTATTGTATCTGTGGGTGGGCTTTTCTATTGCAGACTAAAGCACATGGAATCAGCTCATTTCTGTTTATCGCACACCATCAGTTCACACTGAATCTATGTGTAACATCTGGGCCTTTTCTTTGGAAAACAATGTGTACCAGTACATGAGGTCAGAAGCGAGAAGTCATTTAAAATGTAACTCTAAAGCGAAAACAGGTTTCCTAATGGCCAAATGTGATTTTAAATTCACTGGACATACTTCAGGACTCAGAAAGGTAATTATAGCGTCATCTGCTGGTCAAAATGTCCCTTCCCACTTTTCATTTAGTCTCTTGATATTGTGCAATTGTACTGAAACTGTTGTTGAAGGTGTAATGAAATGCCTTAAGCATATAACATTGTATTTAGTCAGATAAAAAATCATGCATGCAACAGATCCATATCAAATAAACATCCAAATGTATGTTCTTTTGGCAATTTGTTCAGATAATCTTGTAACAATCATGCCCTGAGAGGAAAACAAAGTCAATTCTTGTTGTTTTCTGTGTGTAATTATTATGTCATGTGCGTGCATCGGATCTGATGGCATTTGAGTCACAAATTTTTGAAAAGACAAAAACAGGCTATCGTGCGTGTG